GGGCCCGTAATACCCACATCTGTATCTTTTTTTTTTTTTTTTTTTTTTTTTAATTGAGACAGTCTCACTCTGTTACCCAGGCTGGAGTGCAGTGGTGTGATCTCGGCTCACTACAACCTCCACCTCTCAGATTCAAGCGATTCTCTTGCCTCAGCCTCACAAGTAGCTGGAACTACAGGCACACACCACCACGCCTGGCTAACTTGTATTTTTAGTAGAGACGGGGTTTCACCATGTTGGCCAGGCTGGTCTTAAACTCCCGACCTCAAGTGATCCACCAGCCTCAGCCTTCCAAAGTGCTGGGATTACAGGCGTGAGCCACTGTGCTGGGCCCGAGTTTGTATCTTGACTCACCTGCTTTGACCTTCAAATAATCTTTCCTGTGCCTCAGTTAATTCATAGGTTTGTTGTGAGGATTAAATGGTGCTAATCCATGTAAGACACTGAAAAGGTGCATAGCATGTAGTGGACAGGTGCTACTTATTCTGTTAATGAAGTGAGATGGAGAGGGGAGAGTTGGAGAGGCAGAGCCCAGCATCTTCTGAACATCGCACCACAGAAAAGGCAGCGCTCTGATTCCTGTTCCTAGCCTAGGCTTAGCTCTTGAAGGAAGTGCTAAGCCTTTGTGTATGTTCATTTAAGAACACGTTTAGTTTTCTAAATATGCAACATATTCACAGGGTTTTTAAAAAGGCTTGAAAAAGTCTAGTGTGAAAGCCTTCTGTATTAATCCATTTTCACATTGCTATAGAGAAGTACCTGAGACTGGGTAATTGTTGAAGAAAAGAGATGTAACTGACTCATAGCTCTGCAGGGCCGTGAGGCCTCAGGAAACTAGCAATCACGGCAGAAGGCAGAGGGGAAGCAGGTACATCTTACATGGCGGCAGGAGAGAGAGTGAGGGGGATGCTGCACCTTAAAGCCATCAGATCTTGTGAGAACTGACTCACTATCACAAGAACAACATGGGAGAAACTGTCCCAATGGTCCACTCACCTCCCGCCAGGCCCCTCCTCCGACACGGGGGTTGACGATTTGAGATGAGATTTGGGTGGGGACACGGAGCCAAACCGTATCATCTCCCATCCTTCCATTTAGCAAGTTTACCCCCCCGTGGCAGCCACGGCCGTTAGCTCTACATTTATTCTTCCAGAGTTCTTTTGTACCAGTATGGATATAGATCCTAGTTTCTTCTTTTTTTAATATTAAAAAAATGGTATATTATTATGTACTCTGGTTTATTCCTTGCTTTTTTTTTTTCCTTTTTCTTATAAAAAATATAGAGATGGGGGGTCTTACCACACTGACCAGGCTGGTCTCGAACTTGCCTCAAGTGATCCTCCCATCTTGACCTCGCAAAGTGCTGGGATTATAGGCATGAGCCACTGCACCCAGAAGTTGTTTTTATTTGTCAAAGAAGTGGCATGATTTTGATAATAAAGGACAATATGTAATTATAATATAGTCTTCTAGAAGCCAGGTGTGGTGGCCCACGCCTAGTAATCCCAGCACTTTGGGTGGTTAAGGCAGGCAGATCATGAGGCCGGGAGTTTGAGACCAACCTGACCAACATGGTGAAACCCTGTCTTTATTCAAAAAATATAAAAATTAGCTGGGTGTGGTGGCATACACTTGTAATCCCAGCTACTTGGGAGGCTGAGGCACAAGAATGGCTCGAACCCAGGAGGCAGAGGTTGCAGTGGTCCAAGATCGCTCCACTGCACTCCAGTCTGGGTGACAGAGCAAGACTTTCTCTCTCAAAAAAAAAAAAGAATAAATATATAGCTTTCTAGATATAGGATTGGACTGGTTTTGGTTCTGGCTCTGTTACTAATTTGCCCTGTAAATTTACATAAATCATTTAATCTTCTTGGGTTTGATTTTTCTCACCTCCAGGATGGGGACAAAAATTACCTTCCTCTGCTGGGCACGGTGGCTCCCGCCTGTAATCCCAGCATTTGGGAGGCCACGACAGGCGGATCACCTGGGGTCAGGAGTTCGAGACCAGCCTGGCTGACATGATGAAACCCCATCTCTACTAAAAATATAAAAATTACCTGGGCATGGTGGTCCATGCCTGTAATTCTAGCTACTCAGGAGGCTGAGGCAGGAGAATCTCTGGAACCCGGGAGGCAGAAGTTGCAGTGAGCCCAGATCATGCCACTGCACTCCAGCCTGGGCGACAAAGTGTGACTCTGTCTCAAAAAATAAATAAATAAATAATTACCTCCTTCATTTTCTTTATAATATTGTGTAAAATGAGTCGATATCTATAAGAAAAACTTCAGAAAGTATTAAGTGATACACATATGTTTGTGTATGTCTACATATGTATATGTGTGTATGTATACCTATGTATAATATATACACATGCAATGGAGTAATGAAAATATATAATATTAAATATAAAATAGATTAAAACTATTTAAAATAGATGCATGAAGTAGAAAGGCTAAACAGATATTGATGTTTGCATATAGGCACATTTAGTTGGATTAAGTTAGATTTCAATGGTCTGATAGAGAACTGTGCATACAAGTACATAGGCAACTGCAAATCAGCCCTTTCTCTGGGCTGTCCAAAATAATCAGGCACGAGACCAAAAAACAACATGTTCTCTGCCTCACCCCTTAGTGACGATTTGTAGGGAGAGGAGGGTGGGGGCTGGTGGGTGGAAAGGCTTGTGAGGGGATGTTCTATGTGACTGAAGACGAAGGTCGGAGATTCGTGGACTAGAAGGTGTGAATCTACTCTGAAAGACAGACAAGCGTCCAGTGCAGGGAAACAGGTGCAGAGGGGTGGGATTTTGGTGGGCACTTGAATTTTAAAAATGGATTTGTGATGCAATATTGCTTGGGTCAAAAACCAAAAAATCCAACTGACCAGGGTGAGAAATAGCCTGGGTCCTATCATGGCTCTGCTGCCACGTGGGGTGCCTGGACTGTCTTTTCAGGTTCACGTAACAGTCCATCCTACTTATTATAGAATACATGAAATGCTTCATATTCATTCAAGCCACCTTATTAAAAACATACCCCATGAAAATAATATCTTCCCTTCAATATACATTCATATGTGTGTATTATAAGCATATATCTACCACTGTGAGTTTGCCATTCTTTTTCATTTAATATTATTACCTATTCAGCTTCCAACATGATCACTTCCTTACTATATGGATTTGTTTCCCAGGACCGCAGTAACAAATTGCCACAAATGTATGGCTTCAAACAACAGAAATTTACCTGTAAGGTGTAAGCAACCGCGCCCAGCCATTTTTTTTTTTCTCTAACGACTCCAAGACCACTGTCTCAGTCTGCTTACAAATGCCATCACAAAAATCCCACAGACTGAGTGGTTTAAACAGCAGAAATTAATTTCTCACAATTCTGGAGGCTGGAAGTCCAACATCGAGCTGTCGGCAAAGTTGGTTTCTCCTGACGCCTCTCTCCTCGGTGTGCAGATGGCCGCCTTCTTGCTGTGTCCTCATGTGGCCTTTTCTCTGTGTCTGCACCCTTCTCCTCCCTCTTTCTCTTCAACACCGTCTTTCTGGATGAGGGCCATATCCTTAGGACCTCATTTAGTTGTAATCTCCTCCTTACGGCCCTACCTCTGACCGGAGTCACTTTGGGGCTAGGGTTTAACATGAATTTAGGGGGAACACAGCTCAGTCCATACAGCCGACTTTTTTTTTTTTTTTAAATCTCCCTGGAACCCAAGGATGCTGCATTTAGCATTTATGGTATAGTCATGGCTTCCTCCAGCCCAAACTTCATAAAGGGGGAGGATGAGACCGTTCGAGAGCCCGGGCATAGTGAAAGGCAACGCAGGGCCACCGCCGTTACTAATATCACTGTCACCATCATCTTTATTCTGAGACCGTAAGAACCTGCTCATGATTTATGTGTTGGTTCACAGAGAGCTCAGAAAGTGAATTTATTCAGCTATGTTTATTGAGCTCATCTGATGCACTCAGCTATCTTTCGTGGGGAAGGTACTAAGGTGGATAACAACCTCTTCCTTTAAGGTGTTGCTGTTTTGTAGAGCGTTTAGACACGCGCGCGCACACACACACACACACACCCTCCTATAATCGAAACTAGAAAGTGATAAATACTATGGGAGAAGTAATAGAATATGCTATGGGAGAGTTTGAAAGAGAAATACAGAGTTATAATAACAACCAACATCCTTTATTGAGTATTTGCCATGTGCTTGGCACAATTAGCATAATCATGAGTCTTATTTGTCAGGATCTTACATTATAAGATAGACAAAAAGTCAACTCATGAGTTACTAAGTCCTTTTTGTATCAGTGGGTAAAGCACTGTGTTTCGCACCGTCTCAGATGCAAAGGTGATTAAGACACATGTACTATCCTCTGTGAATGGTGGCGGCAGAACAGACTGCTGCATAGGTAAGGAGAAATCTGCTCTCATTGTTGGCCACAGACAGGCACGCTTTAGGAGTGGAAGGGTAGGAAGATCTCTGACTGCTTGGAAACTTCGGGAGTTACCGCGTCTGGCTAAAGCGGTATTGTCTTAAGGAAAACTATGAATGTGCCTGCTGTGACTTGGTGCTTGGTGGTCAGTTGTCTGAGGAAAGTGGAAGAGAGAGGCGGAGGTACCACATTCAACATGAGCAGAACTGCCCACTGCGGGAAATGCTGCAATGAGAACAAGGAACAAAGACCATCCAGCCTACTGCCCACCTCGGGGGAAGTGAGGGCGGACGGGCAGGGTGACAACGCGCCAACATCTAAAGTGTGAAGAGGGGCTCTTACCAAGTGCCCACCCCTTCCCAGACAGAGGGCAACAAACTCGCCCTTCCACATCAGCATCTGTGCCGGGTCTTACTGCCGGGCGGAGGCAGGGGAACCCTGGTGTGAGTTCTGGAGTACATCGGAGATGTGACTTGGGCACGTTTGGGGCTTAAAAGTAGGAAGGGATCAAGGGGGGAGATTTGAAAATGCCGGCAGAGGTGGGAGGTACCCGGAGAGAGGGTAAAAACTGTAGCAGGCTTGAGGACCCGCCTGTACTAGGAGCTCTGTGTGTGCCACCTCGTTTCCGTCCCCAGCAGCCAGGCGGGCCTTGGCGGCAGGAGGCACTGGCTTTGGGAGCAGGGGTCCTGCAGCTTGCCAAGCGCACACGGTTCTAGGGCGACGGGCTGAGTCTGCAGCTGCGCCCCTCGGGTCCCTGCAGCTCTCTGTGGTCACCTACACCCCAGTCAGGAGCCTTTCCAGCGGGCCGGAGGAGAATGGAAGTTTGGGGAGACCCGCGCGGTTCGCCTGGCCACATTTTGCATTGCCTTCCCCGGCAGCTGGGGTCACGAGGGCTGCTCTCGCGGGCTGTGTTGGAACGTGGACACGTGCGCTTTGGTAATAGGGCCGCCTCCCCCGCGGGCTCGGTCCCCACCGCGAGCGCCGCCGGCTGCGGAGGCGGGACCGAGGACCCGGAGATTTGAGCCGGGGGTGGGCGGGGAGGGGCCTTTGTGACCTGCCCGCCCCTCTCCGGCACTGTGATGCCGGGGGGCAGCTGCGGGCCCTGCGCGCCAGTCCCCAGCGCCCCCCCTCCCGGCGTGTCACAGCGGCGGAGGCGTCTGTATCTGGAGCAGTCAGGGCGGGCAGGCCCAGCTGGGACGCGCGCGGGTGAGGACAGCGGCGGCGATGGTGAGGCTTCCCGGGGCCGGCGGGCGGCGGGCGGCGGGCGCGCGGCAGGGGCAAGACGGAGAGCAGAGTTGACGCCGGGGCGCACGGATCGGATCCGTCCACCTGGAGCCGCAGAGCTCAAGGCCTCCTGCGGCTGGCAGTTCAGGGTCCAGGAGTCGGCACCCTCGGCCGGGAACACCTGGTGCCCTTTATCTTATGGGGAAATAGAAACCAGGGGCCAGTCGCTCCTTAGAGGGACCTAGGGAGCTTTGCACGCAGAAAAGGGAGAGGGAGGCCCTGGGGAGCCCGACGGAGAAGCGGGCAAGATTGTGGGGTCCCCAGATGGGCAGCCTGTGGACACAGTGGAGAGAAGGGGGAACCCGGGGATTCTGGATGGGTGGTCTGGGCCCGGGCGGCTGGGAGAGCAGATGCAGTCATATCTCCAAACCCAGCCTAATGTGACAGGGCCTGGAATGTGACGGGGGACTTAGGGCGCCACGGTCCCCCAACGCGTGGAGGTCGTTAGCGCACCCCCTGGCCAGCGGATGGGGTTTGCTGGGCGCACAGCCCCAGCGCGGCGGGGTTGTTCGGCGCACTCAGCTCTCTAGTCTTTCCAGCGGTCAGAGTCGAAGGACTTCGGTACTCAGAAGTCTCCGCTTCCGAAGGCCAGGGGCACCTGGGACCTGTTTCCTACCCTCCCTTAGGGGCTCACGCTGCTCCCTTCCCCTCCCCCCACCTTCTCCATTTGCAGACACGGATCTTACCCAGGGGCGGCTCCAAACACGCAGTTGCTCTCTCTAGGGTCAGCCTCTGCGCCCCCAGTGCCCCTGGTGGCTAACATTTGCCCCCAATCCACTTTCCCAAAGCCCTGAATCCCAGGAATCCTTCCCGGTTCCTGATCTTTCAGCAGTAGGGTGATGGGCTGGAAAGGTTGTGGGTAGAGGGAGGGCAGAATAAGGTCATGGTCAAGGTCAGGTTCCCTGGGCAGGCTTGCTCCAGGTGTCAGTGACCCAGAAAGCAGGCCAGACCCCCCTCCGCCCCGCCCCGCTACGTTTGGACAGTGCCCAGGACCTCCTGGCTCCGCCTGAGCTCTACTCCACCAGCTTCAGTTTTGTCCAGCACCCTCCCTCCTCCTAGCGGACTCCCAGATACTCCTGGGAGCTGAAAGAACTTGGGAACATTAGGGAGGGTGGCCACAGGAACCCATTTCTGCCCAAGTCCCCTGGTATGGGGGGCATACAAGGGTCCCAGAGCTGGAAGTTCAGAATTTTGATTCCTGGCTCTGCAGCTAGCTGTGTGACTTCAAGAAGGTCACTTAACCTCTCTGGATGGGTTTGCTTCACCTGCAAAATGAAGACGGTTATAATTAGATTGCTAAGACTCCACATAGACTTTATTATTTTATTATTTTTAAACTTTTTATGGTAGAGAATTTCAAATGTATGCAAACGGAGAGCAAATGGTATAATGAGCCATTATATACGTCATCTAACTTCAATAATTATCAACTTCTGACCGGTCTCACTTCATTTATTCCCTCCCTCCATCATTTTGAAGCAAATGCTAGGCTGCATAGTCTAGGACTGGCATTTAGTATTTACAGTATCTAGCAGGTAGCTAGTGCGTTAGGATTTTCCCAGAGCTTCCCGTGCATGCTTTGGATCTGAATACCATTGTGGCTCTGAGTGGAGCCCTGAGGATGCTCACAGGGCATCAGGGATCTTCACCCAGCCCTGTGCACAGGCTTCAGTGTGTGATCCACAGGCAAGTTTCTGACAGCACCTGGTAAATCAACAATTCCAACGGCAAAACCTGATTTTGAATGTGCTTAAGGATTTGGGCGTTTAGCTGAAAACCTATGGTAAGTATTTTGAAAAGGGAATACCTTTCATTTATTTTGAAACACTGGATTTTGTATAGTAGGTTCTATCTAGAACATTTAACTTGTGTGCATTGCACTGTCTTGATGGCAAATTTTTTTTTGTTGAACATGTTATACTCACAGAAACTTTTACAATATCATTTGACTCATTTGTAAAAGGCTAAAATGACACATCTATAAACCTAGACCCCTAAGATCCCACCCTGGCAAAAACAACTTTATTTCCTTCAAGGATTCAGTTTCCTCCTACTGTCCTGTCCCTGCCGCTTCCCTCCCGGGAGGGGGTTTGAGGGAGGTGACCTTGGTGTTAAGGAAAATTACATTTGTCATTTCTGTAGGTTCCGGATAAGAAAAGTGTAACTAATCCTTACATATATTTTAAGATCTATTTATCTGGCTACTAGGCAGATGAGCATTTTTTCTCTGTGAAGAAAAAATTTTTTCTCTCTTTTCTTCCTTAGCTCCAACCCCTTGTCCCCAGCTACCCACTACCCTGCAGCACCAATACCCTTCAGCATTTCTGTGCTGGAGCCTAAGGTTACTCAGCTGGTAAGAAGCTGCGTAGGGGCTGGAGTTGACATCTGCTGGGCACCAGAGCCTATGTCCTGAGCCGCCGGCCCGTGGCTACTCCCACAGCGGACCATTCCCATCCACTCCCAGGGTTCTTCTAGAATGCAGCTCTCTGGGAACTGAGACTATGACACCTTTTTTGGGAAGCGGCATGGAGAATCTTGGCCAGGTGCCCTAAGCCAAGCCCATGCCAATGATAGCAGGGCACAGAGAAAGCTTCTGTGGTCTATGGAGAGGTGGGAGTATCTGCAACATGGCTTCCTTAGCTCCATTCTGCTGGGACTAGAGAGCATGAAGGAGCCCGTCTCCCTGCAAAAATGGGCAGTTAGAGGGGAGGGAGAATGTTCTGGGGGCCAGATGGTCTTCTGCAGTCACCCCATGTAGGCATGCGTGGCTGAGCTCTGTGGAGCTGATAGTGCATTCTGACCTCAGAGCACCATGAGGGCTCCCAGGGGCTGCGGATCACGGCTGCCTCCTCCTCCCCTCCCATCAGGAAGGGCAGGTTTCTGCAGAGGCACTGGGCGCATGCCTCTGAATGAGGGGTCTTGGGTCCCAGGGCAGCGGCTAGGGCAGAGCTGTGGGGCTGGTGAGTTTAGTGGGAGCCACCAGACTTGGGCCAGGCCCATGCATAGCCGGGGGTGGACTGGGGAGGGGTTGATGCCATTGTTGAGTGTCCTTTCTGTGACCTTCAAAGGGAGGTGACAAGTTAAAAATGATTTTGGAGGGGAAGTAGCTGGTGGATAGAGGGCAGTGACGGGGGTGGGTGGGAGGATGTGGCGCTCTCTGTGGGAGGGGGCAGACCAAATGCTCCTTTCCCTGGGGCTGCAAGGCACAGACGGCACTCTCTGTGGCCTTTGTGGTTGGCATTTCCCTGTCGGTGTCTTCCTGTTAGGATTTCTCTCAGCTAATAAGCTGCAGAAGAGAGCAGGACATGGGGCAGGCACTGTGTAGCGGATTGAAACTCCTAAGTGTCTCCCGCACCTGCCCCAGGGCCAGCCACAGCCCCAGGGCCTCGGATGCTGGGAGTCTCCTTAGCGGATGGCCTCATGCCCTGAGCTGGCCTCCTGTGAGCCCTGCTGCAGCTCTAACTGCGGTGCCTGTCACCTGAGCCCCTCTTGTGAGCCACCTTCACTCACTAAAGTGAATTTAGGCTGACTCTGCTTTGCTGTGCCTGGCTCGCTGCTGATTCTTTGTTCTGAGTGATGGATTTCAGATGTGCTGTGTGGTCAAAGAGTTCTGAGCAGAGAGAACCCAGCAGCCCTTAGGGGTCACATCTGTCCTACTGTAATCACCCCTCTGTGACACTGTGGGCCTGCTTTTCACTTGCCATCCCTGGCCTAGGTCCTAAAATACATGTGACCTAGGCCGGGCATGGTGGCTCATGCCTGTAATGCAAGCACTTTGGAGGCCAAGGCAGGCGGATCAGCTGAGGTCGGGAGTTCAAGAGCAGCCTGACCAACATGGTGAACCCCGTATTAAAAAAAAACACAAAAAACGTGACCTATTATCCCAGGCTGACAACTAGAGATAACTTGGCATCATCATATGCTTCTGAGAGCAGCCGGGGCACGAAAACACAGGTGGTCAGGGAGCGTGGGCGGCCCCCAGCTTTCGCAGGGCACATGCTGTGGCTCACATTGGCCCCTCTCCCAGATGATATGCCACTTTTACTGCCTTGGAATATTGGAAATGGTATCACAAGACAGCCTTTTTCAGCCTTCCGAGTCTCCTTCTGCTGCAGATGGTGATTAGCTCATCTTAGTTCTCTGAGAACAAAGCGAAAGGAAACGGCCGTTATTAAAATAGAATATAAGATTGATGTAAAAAACGGTTTCTCGTAGCAAAATTATAAAAGGGCTGCAAAGTTCTAGAATTTCTTTTATTGATGCGCTGCAAAACATAGGCTTTCCTTTCCAGGGGGAGTGGTCACGGGTGGCCCAGATGTCTCATTGGCCCTGCCCTTCCCGAGCCTGTGCTCCAGACAGACTGGGCAGTGTGTGGGAACTGCCCTGTTTTCCTGCCTCTTGTTCACACTGCTCCTGCATCCACCTGAATGGCCCCAGATCATCTTGGCTGTCTGTCTTCTTCAGGGTCCCTGTGAATATTCCTCCTTTAGGAAACCAAGCTAGATGGCATCTCGTTCCCCTTGGAACTCCCCCTGCACTTGACCCGTATGCTTCCTAGGCACTGGCCACTGTGCTTGTTGGGTGGACTGCAGCCCTTCAGGGAAGGTTTTCATTCCAGTCCTCCTGTGTTAATTGAGCACCTGCTACATTCAAGCACTGGGCTCCGTACTGGGGATCCCATGAGTGAAACAAAGTTTCCTTGCCCTCACAGAGCTTACGTTCTCTACTAGAAAGGTCAGATAATGAACAGGCAGCTATAATATGGTGTGATTATTGCAATGACAGGGATGAAGGGGATGGGGAGCACATGGCAGGGACCTATGCTGGCTTGGGGTTTTGCAGACTTCCCATAGAAAGTGACATTTGACTGGAGACCTGAAGGATGAGTGAGTTAGCCCAGTACCTCACAATGCTTTCTCACACTCAATAACACAAAAACATTT